CTAATCATTTTATTAATCTGAATACCCTTAAATACTTTTCACTGACTTACTGAAACACAAAATTGGTTTGGCAACTTCATTAACATTTGAACTTCATAGCCAGGTGCATCCAATCATGAGAAAACGTATTTAAGGTGGCCAGTTGCAAGTTGTTCTCCTGTTTGAATCTCCTCTGAAGATTCATCATGGGCACCTCAAAACAACTCTCAAATGATCTGAAAACAAAGATTGTTCAACATAGCCGTTCAGGGGAAGGATACAAAAAGTTGTCTCAGTCTTGTCTATATTACCGTAATGTCTCTTTTTAGCTGAGGTGCAAATATTTTTGCACCTGTCAAATTTAGTTTTAATGCTTACTGCACATTTTCTTTTAGCCCAATAAACCTCAATTCAATACTGAAATATTAGTGTGTCCATTAGTTATTAAATATAAATATAAATACATATATACACACATATATATATATATATATATATATATATATATATATATATATATATATATATATATATATATAGCAGTTGGAAACACCCAAATATTTAGAAATGAAAATAATTAAGAAGGGAGCCCAAACTTGCTCATATGACTGTATATATCATTCACTGGAGTCAAAACGTGCAACACCAACAGCTTCTCACCCTGGACTTCCACTGAATTGTGGTCATTCTCATCTCTCTGAACTTTGGCAATCAGTTGCTGCGTTTTCAGCTGTAGCTTTTCTCTCTGAGGAGACAAATATCACAGTTGTATATATCACTGACAATGAATGACCTGGTCAAAGAGCCTGCAGGGAATACTATATCCCCACAGGTGAAACATGGTGGTGGCAGTATTATGCTGTGGGCTGCTTTTCTCAAGCAAGAACAGGTGACATCCCCACTCTAAGCTTATCAATCCCTCACCTACTAATCTCTTTAAAAAATGCCATCCAAACCAAATGCTGAGTTGGATTCCTGCATGTAAGATGTTCTAAAATCCCTTTACAGTGCATGTGAAAATGACAAAAATATGAAAAAAGCTGAATGGAAATAATTCTAGGTCAATTTCTAAACCTAACTAGCAAATCATGTCACCCAATTTTGAGTCATTAGCTTCAGCTATTGTTGATACCTTTTGTAGGAAAATAAAATATGAACCTGCAGCTCTTCAGATGTTAAAAAGAAACTGTCAAACTATAGAGTGATATATAGTTATAAATCCTTACATGACTTGCCAGTTCCAATGAAAGAAGACGTTTGACAAGATCATCTGTCCTGTAAAAGAAAAGCAATGTCATACTTTATCAGAAATTATTAAACTATTATTACACTATTAATCATTAGATCAACAAAATCTATAACATAGCTGTGGAGTGGAAGGAAATAGATCCAGTTTTTATAAAGGAATCGGAAAAAAATTGGAAAAGGGAAAAAAAAAATAATCTGACAACTTCTAAATGCAATTCTTGTGTTTTTATAAAAAAAAAAGTTTGCAAACTGCTCAGCTTATTTCCCTTTTACTTCTACTATAACATAAATCCTACTAAAATACGTTCAGACTACAACAAGAGAAGTGTTTATTGTTTTGCATTGTCCCCCTATAAATGTCTCACTTGTCATTAGAGCTGCAACTAACAATTATTTTGCTAATTGATTATTTTTTCAGTTAATCGATTAATAATCGGATAGCAAAAGGTTTCTGACAGAAGATTTTTTATGAAATCAAACCAGGTGAAATTAAAACATTTCCACTTAAGGAGTTCTGGATAGGGCATGTTGACAGAAGAAAATATAGATTTTTTTTTAAACTTATATGTTCTTTACAATATTGGTATAATTACTGCTCTAATTGGGCTGCTCTGTCAGCTAAAGGCATGTTTTAAAGTCCCTATACTCCAGTTAACAATTAAGAGGTTACTAAATTGGTTAACGATTAATGACAATAATTGATTAATCACGATCATTTGACTTCAGCCTTACTTGCTATGTTATTGAGTCATTTGTCATTTATATTACTGTTTTCATGTATTTTTTTTTTACTGTTTTCAAAGCTGCATTTAAAAGAAATTATCAAGGCTGGCTGACTGCATAGTGAATTGGGAGGCAGAAATGTAGCATGTAGTATTCACATAAAGCACACCTTGTGCTGAAACAGTCTATGATATTGGCTAGTTGTTTCTTTGACTGTCAGCAGGATTTTTATTTTTTGCTCTGGTTGCACCATTGTGGCCAATTTATTTTTCCTTGGTGCAACTGCACAAAAGCAAGGTGCACCCAAACCACATTTTACACCGCTGCTTTATAGGTTCTCTTTTGTTTTGCTGTTTCCAAATTGCTGTTCATATAAACAACATTGATGAATAAATTAGTGGTCAAAATAAAGTTCCTTGACACAGAAATATTGATTTTTCAATATTATTGTAACAGAAAAACCTGTTTTTGTCCACTTTTAAATACTCTGTTGTGTGATAAGGATGTGGAAACTAAAACATGAACCAATTAATCGTATGTTAAAAATAACTATTTACTCCACTAAAACATTGAAGATTGTGACTATAAAGACACAATATAAAAAGTACAGGACATGCAAATACTTTTGTACGACACTTTTTTGTATATTTATATGTTTTGTTTTTTTTTAATCTAGAATTGCTTTCAGGTAGGATGCAAATGCTTTTCTTACGACTGAGCAAGTGGGACGGCTGCATAATCCGCCTTCAGCATAGTTGGAGGAAGATCACCAAGCTGGCTCTCTGGGCCTGAAACAAGTCAAATTCTCACATGAGATTTCTAAAGCTGAAATAAGCGTACTTAGTAGTTTTGTAACAGAACAAAAAGCTGTTTTGAAATACCAGTCTTCTTCTTCTTTGCAACCCTGGCATAGTGTCTCACTGGATGTGGAACTGCAAATCCTCCTGAAACAAAAGAAAAAAAACATTTAAGTTGTGCGTACTGGACAGAAAATTGCTCTTTTTGTAAGAAAAGTTCAGGAATTGAAACATAAACAGAATCAAGACAAATAAAACGGAACAAAAATACAAAAAGAATAGTCAGTTTAGTCCAAAAAAAGTTTCTTAGGAGTTCATGGTGGTCTCAGTTTGATAAAACAACACAAATGTTTTTCTTTTTTTTCTGTTTTAAGTACTAAGAGTCAGATTTCTTTTCTGCGTCAATAACCTTATGATGATGATGATGATGATGATGCAACCGGTCAATATGATAAGACTGTTACTGAGTGAACCCTATTCAGAGCACAAGATAATGATTGCAACATTTCTGTCCTGCATCTCTGATAGCACCACTGTGCATAAAACTGATGGTGACAAGATAGTGGTTTTCTATTTAATCAAAACCATAAAAAAAGTGGCTTCTTGAATTTCTGATTAGTTCTCATTAGAAACATAACCACATGTGCAACTGATTCCAAGTTCCCTTTTTATGCAGCAACAGCCATTTCTACAGAGCATAGAGTGTATGCATGAAGATGGATATGCTTATCAAAAACGTAACTTGTCAATCACACAATTTCATTGTAATCATCAGGTTTTAGGCTGTAAAATGTCAAAAGTTCCTCTTTCCATTAAGTGTATGATAAGAATGAGGTAGATTTGAGGGGGAAATGAAGACATAGCTTCTCTTGATTTAACTGATAACTATGAAAGACATTGCTTGGTCTGATAAGCTTGACATAAAAAAACAAAAAAGAAAAATAGAGCACATCAGTTGCGTTTGTCAGGCTTCGTAAAAACTGACAAAATCAATATTGCACTTTATTTCCATCTGCAGAACCCTTAATTTATTATTAAGTTAATTATGAATGCGCCTTTTATTGTGCTTGCCTTTCATAATCAAAAATAATCATTGGATTTCTGAGAGATCATATCCATCGTCTTTTCGAAGATGTTTTTTTTCCCCTATATATCAGCTGAACATTTCCTCCGCTAGTTTTATGTACCGTAGTGTGAAAAAGGGTTTGCCCCCTACCTCATTTCCTGTTTTTTTTGCATGTTTGTCACACTTAGGTGTTTCGGAACATCAAACCAATTTAAACAATAGTCAAGGACAACACAAGTGAACACAAAATGCAAATTGTAAATTAAAGTGTTTATTATTAAAGGAGACAAAAAAATCCAAACCATCATGGCCCTTTGTGAAAAAGTGATTGCCCCCCTCATTAAAATATACTATAACTGTGGTTTTTAACACCTGAGTTCAATTTCTCTAACCACACCCAGGCCTGAATATTGCCACACCTGTTTTCAATCAAGACATCACTTAAATAGGAGCTGCCTGACACAGTAAAGTCCACCAAAAGATCCTTAAAAGCTACACATCATGCCGAGATCCAAAGAAATACAGGAATAATTGAGAAAGAAAGTAATTAAGATCTATCAGTCTGCAAAGGGTTATAAAGCCATTTCCAAAGCTTTGGGAATCCAGCTGTGAGAGCCATTATCCACAAATGGCGAAGACATGGAACAGTGGTGAACCTTCCCAGGAGTGGCCGGCTGCCCAAAATTACCCCAAGAGCGCAGCGACCACTCATCCAAGGTCACAAAAGACCCCTGAACAACATCCAAAGAACTGCAGGCCTCACTTCGCTCAGTTAAGGTCAGCATTCATGCCTCCACCATCAGAAAAAGACTGGGCAAAAATGGCCAAGAGAGTTCCAAGAAGAAAACCACTGCTGAGCAAAAAGTACATTAAAGCTCGTCTCAATTTTTCCAAAACACATCTTAATGATCCCCAAGACTTATGAGGAAACAATCTGTGGACCGATGAGACAAAAGTGGAACTCTTTGGAAGGTGTGTGTCCCATTACATCTGGCGTAAAAGGAACACTGCATTTCAGAAAAAGAACATTATACCAACAGTAAAATATGGTGGTGGTAGTGTGATGGTCTGGGGCTGTTTGCTGCGTCAGGACCTGGAAGACTTGCTGTGATAAATGGAACTATGAATTCTGCTGTCTACCAAAAGATCCTGAAGGAGAATGTCCAACCATCTGTTTGTGAACTCAAGCTGAAACGAACTTGGGTTCTGCAGCAGGACAATGATCCTAAACACACCAGCAGGTCCACCACTGAATGGCTGAAGAAAAACAGAATGAAGACTTTGGAGTGGCCTAGCCAAAGTCCTGACTCCTATTGAGATGTTGTGGTATGAGCTTAAAAAGGCCGTTCATGCTCGAAAACCCTCTAATGTAACTGAATTAGAACAATTCTGCAAAGATGAGTGGGCCAAAATTCCTCCAGAACGCTGTAAAAGACTCATTGCAAGTTATCGCTAACGCTTGGTTGCAGTTGTTGCTGCTAAGTGTGACCCAATCAGTTATTAGGTTTAGGGGGCAATCACTTTTTCACACCTTCATTTACAATTAGCATTTTGTGTTTACTTGTGTTGTCCCTTACTGTTGTTTAAATTTGTTCGATGTTCCGAAACACTTAAGTGTGACAAACATGCAAAAAAAAAAAAAAAAAAAAACAGGAAATGATAAAGGGGGCAAACCACTGTAGTTAAATATTCAGTTTACTTCCATGCAATCACCAAAGATTCCAAAGATCCCAGGTTATATTAGGCAGATGTTAACTTTCATTTGGAAGCCCCAGAATTATTTTATTCATTTATTTATTAATTTTTTTAGATCACTGACACAATGCATCTTTATTTACATCTTGATGTGGCACTTCAGATATAAATAAATGAGAAAAAAGTGGTCAGTGCCATGAGACAATGAAGGGTAGGGCTGATTGTGGAGATGAGGGGTGGAAGGGTTAGTCAGTGTGTTCAGTTCCTGGCAGACATATGAATACTGTACTGCAAGGACAGGAAGCTGTCATTTTCACAATCAATGCTAATAAAACATACCAGAAGTTGCTCCTGAAATAAGTTGTTCCCAACTGGAATACAAAAGTTATTTTAAATCTGACCCTGGGTTTAGGTTTTCTTCCTCTAACGTTAGGATTATGGTTAGCCTTCAGGGGAGGGGATAAACCGATGGTAATGTTTAGGCATCAAATCCACAGACTTTAGGTTTTGGATTCTTCCAAAACCTCTACTTTAAAGCTTTCCTTTTTTTTTGGTAAGTAAACAAAGAACAGTGTTCAAACATCTGTACAAAAAGCAATCAGGGGTACTTGATGTAACACAGCTTAAAATTAGAGTACAAAATATAACTTTGAATTATCTTAAAGTTTATAATGAAACAATTTAAAGGAAAGTTGTTCAGTGTTGTAAGATGACTCCCACACTGTCCAAGTGTGGGAGTCATCTTACAACACTGGGAGTCATATTTATTTGCAACGTTTTGGTACATTAACTTCATCTGGCAAACATTTCTAGTGTATGAGAAGCCGCAATAAATAGGGAGTGGTTATTTCCCCAAAACAAATCTAATTCTCACACATAAACCCAGAAGAAAAACACAGATCGTCAGATAATTAAGAACAAGAACATTGCAAATATAACATAGCACCCTACTGCTAGTAGGATGCCTTTTGCAAACTTATTAATTTTGAAGTATGGACAGTGAGTATTGAAAAGTAGAATGGGAGGCAGATCTTTTAGTTATCAGGCTCCTCTCCAAATACCAGTTTTAGTCCGTGAGGCAGACACCTTGTCTACTTTTAAGGGTAGGCTTAAAACTTTCCTTTTTGATAAAGCTTATAGTTAGAGTGGCTCAGGTTATCCTGAGGTATCTCTATAGTTATGCTGCTATAGGCTTAGACTGCTGGAGGACATAGGGACCCCTATTTCATCATTTTGCTTCCTTCATTCTATCTCTATTCTCCCACTCTGCAGAATCTCTTAGTTCAATCTCTAACGTTCTGCTCTCTCTGCTTTTTCTCATAGTAGCTTCTGTTCCTGTTTGGCTGTGACTCCATCCTGGAGAGAAATATAAGCTGTGCTGCTGCCATCAACACCTTTGTTTATAGATGTTGGAGATCAACCTGCTTTTCCTCTGTAGTCCTGTTTCTAAGTCTGTGACTGGCTGGATGTGCTCTCTTCATCCTCTGACATAGGAGCTGGCTCGGAGCTTGTCTGCCTGGCTGTGTGTTTCCTGGATGGGGCCGCCTTTTGTATCTCTGCTTCTGTCTCCTTGAACCCCAGTTGGCCTCGACAGATGGCCGCTCACACTGAGCCTGGTTCTGCTGGAGGTTTCTTCCTGTTAAAAGGGAATTTTTCCTCTCCACTGTCGTTACAAGCAAACTTAGTGTTGAGGGATTGCATTTGAGTCAATGAGTCGATGCAATCAACTGGTTTTCCTTACACAGAAAACTTTTAATCAATCTGACTGGATGATCCGGTGCGTTGTAAAGTGCCTTGAGATGACGTGTTGTGAATTGCCGCTATATAAATAAACTGAATTGAACTGAACTGAGCAGACTGCTGCTGATAGTTACATTGGGTCATAACCTTATTAGTTTGAGCAGTAGATTTGGCAAAAAGATGCTCAAAGCCGGTGCCTCTGAGGCGAAGGAGGGCAGGATTACTGGGTACAGAGACCTATGTCTGACTGAGCTGTTTTTTTACCTGAATATTGTGATGTAGGAATGGCCCAGCATGTATTGTTTGAACAAAGTGGAAATTCAGCTGCGGTAGCTACCATTCACCCACTTTGGCAGCATAGGCAGTTTAAATAACATTAAATGGCACACTTTTAAACGGATGAGTTTGTTTAGCCCCTTGGTCCAGTCCTTTTAGACAGGTGTAAAAAAAGACCAATGAACTCTAGTCAGTTTGACCCAACCACAGAAAGCACACGTCTCTTTAGATGCAACAAGCTACTGTGGCAGTAAGCATAGTAACAAAATCCAGCTGTTCTGTTGTCTGTTGCTTAGCAACACTGCTTCCAGCATGCAGTGGACATTCCTCATTTTGTGGGATGTATTTTCCAACACTGTCACAAATGAAATTTAAAAACTATATTGAATGAGCTGCTTGAGATACTTGCAATAGTTTTGCAAATTTTATAAGAGCATCAATATGCAAAGTAGAACTCCTCAGTACAGAACCTCCATAGTAGTTTTCCTCCATTTTTGGGACTATGTTCTGCTGTAGTCTTTTCCAAGCAATGAGAACAATGATCATCACACGTATGTTGTGCGTTTTAGTCCACTTGCAATAAATGCAATTAAACAAAAAAAATTTTTTTTAAGTCCTCTTTTAATCTGGACCAAAGGACTTTCCTGTGTGAAAACACTCAAAATTAAAAAACAAAATTACTAACTGAAGAAACCTTAATGTACTGTCAAATGGAGGCAGTCTCCATGGTGAAGTAGTTAAAGTCATTAAATTTATTTAAATGATCAAACATTGATTTTTATAATATGACTTGAAATTTGAAACTTGATAAAACTGTAACAGAGAACATCTCTAAAGGGGTTCTTCTATTACAGCATTGAATTATGATTATTACATGCATGAAACATATTTTGTGACATTTATTCATGGTTATTTAAATTTGGGCACAGAAAAAAAAATCAACTGTGAAACACAGTAATAGTTTAAAATTATCTTGTGCTTCTGTTGTTCTGCTCTGTTGAATCACACAGATTTAAGTGACCTTGAACTTTTTCACACACTAAGTTCTTTATTATTATCTTTGCTTTGTTCCTTAATTAGCAATTACCTTTATGTAATTGTATCACATACTTGAGGTCAGTATTATATGATCTTAGAGCCTGCAAGACCATAATATTTAAAGTTATCTTCCAAAGTAAGAGGAGCTAAAAGAGGATTTGCATTATATAACCCAGAAATACTACTCTATAAAACATTTTGATCTGATTAAGAAGAGTAAGGCAGCTATAATATGTAGCTAACCTGTCCAGGCAAACACACATCAAATAAACAATATTTTCTGAACTCCTTCTCTCTCTGTCTGCATGCTTTATGAGAACACTTTCATCCAATAAGGTGACATAAACATTGAAAAATGATGCAGTATCTCTCTCAACAGCGCCCTCTACTGGTGAAAGTGTTAGGGAGAGTAAAGCCCGGTCAGCAGCTTGTCAGAACATTTTTATCATAAATACCACGTTCAACGTAGTAAAATACCGTTTAATTTATCCAGGATTGAATTATTTTTCGCTCACCTTTGCTAACTGTTGGTCCTGATAACAGAGGCAGACGGCTGCAGCTCCAGGGTCTAGCTGACACCGCGGAGGTTTCACGGAAAACACCCACAGAACACTTCAGAAGCGCCCGCAGGCCACAACTGGAAAACATTGCTAATAATGTAGATAAATAGTCAGAAAACAATCCTAATGAAGATGCTTTAAGTTTGACATGTAATAACACCCGACCCCTACATGAGGTCCGCCATTTTAGGTAGACATAGCTAGCCGAGTCTGGAAAATGATTACACTGCTAGGCGTCACCTAACAATCCCAGAGCGCATCGATACGATTCCCTCCACTTCAATAATAAACAAACGATCAATGGACAGCTGGATCAGATTGTTTTTATTAAAATGAAATGTAGTATCTGTATTTTTCAGGTAACTTCACAATTATAGCTATAAGAGTATGGGAAATATTTGCTTTATACCATGCTCAGTTATTTATATGCACCTCTTTCTTTCTTTCTTTCTTTCTTTCTTTCTTTCTTTCTTTCTTTCTTTCTTTCTTTCTTTCTTTCTTTCTTTCTTTCTTTACAATGTCTTTCGTTTCATCAGAATTCTTATTAAATATATGAAAATAAATGAAATCCATCCATCCATCTTCTCCCACTTGTTCTTTCAGGGTCATAGTGGGTCCAGTGCCTCATCTCCAGCACTTTATGAGCGAGGCAGGGCACTCCCTGGCAAACCATGCACACACACACTCACACCTAAGGACAATTTGGAGATGCCAGTCAACCTAACAGTCATAATTTTTGACTGTGGGAGGAAGCTGGAATACCCGCAGAGAACCCACGCATGCACGGAGAGAACATGCAAACTCCATGCAAGACGACCCTGGGCAAAGAATCAAACCCAGACCCAGCTTGCTGCAAGGCAATGGCACTACCCACCATTCAGCAGATTGGTAAAAATGAGAACTGGAGATGGCTTTCCTTTTTTGGGATTCTCTACAACATATTGGGTTTACAAACTCTATGAAAAGATGACCAGTCACAAACATACCGGTATATCGCTTTTTAAACTAAACATTTAATCAGATTCATTTTAAACAGATAACAGAGGTAACGTTGAAAAAAATTCTATTAAAACATTTCACAGAGTGTAGCACTTTAATTATCCTTTAGAAGAGAATAACATCCTGCCTCTTACAGATCACTGGATTACTTACATACTATTGCATGCTTAATATGAGTATGATAAAAAATAATGTCAATCATCATCTAGAGGAAAGCAATCAAACGTGTCCAAGACATACCAGAACAATTTCATTGCATTTTTTTGTGTTTTTTTTTTTTATTTCCACCAGATCACGTTTTTTTTTTTTTTTTTTCTCTGCAAGCTGCAATATATCCGGGTATCAACATGACAGTTTTAGAAATTATCAACCAAATTTGCTATGTTTATGCTTTAGCTTCCTTCATGATTTGCTCCCATAATAAAGATGTGTAAAAAGCGAAGCCTTAATATAAACCTTTTTTTTTTTTTTTTTTTTGCTTTTGCATGAACTCTCTTTTTTTTTTCTTTGCAAAATTACAATTGTCAAAGTTTCGAGTTTGGCAAATCCAATAAAATAAACAGAAATAATGCACTTTTTCAAATATTGAATATACATTGATTTTGGAATTTAAATCAGTAAAAAACATAATTTTTTTCCCTCCAGTTAAAATGTGAAGTGAGATGCATGCCTATTTTTTTTAGTCACTGTTCAAAAAGAAAAGAGAAGAATCATTTAAAATAAATTCAACAGATGCTGATCATCAGACATTGGAAACGACTACAAGAGCATAGTTACCTAACCTGCAATCATGTATGGTAAAGTTTTTGTAAACTTGATAATATACATTTATCAAGACACAGACTGACTAAGCACCAGTGGTTTTGTTTGCTAGCAGCATGCACAATGAGGTATATTTATAAATGAAAAAAAGCACCACAGTAAAATTACAAACGTACATTAAATCTGACTTGTTGGTAAAGCGGGGTGTGCTCATTGTCATCACAACAAGGGGGAGACATAAAATGCATCAACATTTTTGCAAGCATACTCTGGTGACCAGCACATTAACTTCAGTTATGTTCCCTCTCATTCATGGCTAAAGCTCGTAGGAAAGGAAAATCATCCCAAATCACGCCTTGGTTGTTCTGCTCTTCAGGTATATCATCATCACAAGGCCCAAAAAAGCACTGCTCCTTTGGCATCCCATCAGATGGAACATTTTGGTAGTGTCTTGGAGTCAAAGACTCCTCAGCTTCCAGGAGGGGCTGCGTGGATTCAGAGCGCAGATAGACAGGTTCGTTCGGTTTCGGGCTGCTGCATGAAGACGAAGGAAGCATGGTAGCATAATGAACCGACTCGCTGTTTGAACTTGAATATGTAGGCATGAACACTGAGCCACAAATAGACTCTGGAAGATCACTGGTTTCCTCTTTGCTGTTTAACCAAATATCATCCTGTTCTTTGCTGAGTTTAGTGGTAAGGTCCAGGAAGCTGAGATGGGACAAGTATATTGGATTTGGCTCGTTGTTGTCCCAGGATGGATGAGAAAACTGCACAGAAAAAAATTAACTTATATATTAAACTAGAAAGGAATAGCACATACAGTTAAAACCAGAACTTGACATACCATATAAAAAGCCAAGTTATCTTTTTTTTGTTATTATTTCCTGACACTAAAAAGAAAGAGAAATATATATATATATATATATATATATATATATATATATATATATATATATATATATATATATATATATATATATACACATACCTGGGTAGATTCTGACGACCATCTCTTGATGCTGCTGTTGGCAGGATCTGGAACAACTGGCCATAACCGCCGATCCATCCTTTTGGTAAAAAGAAAGAAACTATGTTAAATTAAAAACATATAGTGAATTGGTAAAAAAACAAAAACAAAAAAAAAAACAGTTACCTCCTTATAGATTTATTTTCTTTATTGTCTTTTTGTCATGAATAATTATTTTAATTCAATAGATAAATTTTATATACTCATAACTGGAGAAAACATGGAAAATGGAGAATCCTCCCAGGAGTTTTTAACATATCAAATAGTATCAATAATATAGACCTAATAAGATTTATCAAAGGACTGTAGATCTAATTTGTTTACAGTTAAGTTCAGTGTCATGAAATCATACGGAGCGAGACTTGGCAAAAATGGCCTCTGTAGGAAAGAAACTTATAAATCTCTGGAGAATCTTTGATTTTATGTGTTATAATCTTTGGACTTACAAGATAAAACGTGAAAACCGTCTGCTGCTCAAATCTGGTACAAACTAACACAGCAATTTAGAAAAAGAACATTTTACTGACAATCCAACATAATCTGTTAGCGGGTAATTAACTACAAAGAAAGCAACAACTCCCATTAATTTGTACTTTTCTAAACAGAAAATACTCTCTGTAGAGTTCCTCTCTATTGTTAGACAATGCAAGCATCTGTCTGCTGTCGCTTCACGCTCATCCAGGAAGATTAAAGGCTGTAAGTCAATGACTCGAAGCAATCTGATGGGTTTTCTTGGATAGGATGCTTTTTAATCAATTCGACTAATAAACTGGACTCCATTGCATTGTTTTAGAATTAGGATACATTTAAAATGTTTACAATTAACTTTGAATCGGTCTTTATGATTTGATTGAATTGTTGCATTAAGTGCTTCAAGACAACATATGTTTTAAAGTGGAACTGTATAAATAAAATGAATAAATAAATGAACTGAGATGCGAGTCTGGCAGAATAATTTTTATTCTATCTACTACATCTTAGTCTTGTGCGTTTTTTGTTGTGGGCTTACGTTTTGTGTTTAGAGAAGCAGGCCAGTAGAAGCAAAAGGATCAGTATTGTCAATCCAGTTCCAGATGCAGTTGCAATGATCACAATAGTAGCCTGATCTTGAAAAAGAAAATATGACATCATTATTTAAAATCTAATTGAAAAAAAATAAATACAGTTCACTGACTCTAAAACTGACAAATTAAAGTATGATACCAACCAGATGAGGTGAATTTAAACCTGATTGTTGTCCCATTCAGGCTTCCACCAAATGTGCTAACCATCATGAAAGCTTCATATAGAGATACAGGGTTGATGTCCTTCAGGATCACCCTTCTGTCTTCTGCATCTGCGCTCACAGCTGGAAAAAAAAAATCCAGGCTTAGAAAACTTTAAACAAAAAGACATTTTATAAGCAAAGCAGTTTAGGCCTTTAACTTACCTTTAACAGGTCCATTTTCTTCCCAGTAGAAGACTTTGTAACCCTTAATAAATCCATTCCTTTGCTCTAAAGGGATTTCCTCCCAGGAGATCTCAATATCTGAATTCCAGTTCTGTTTAATTTTAAGTTCAGGAACCACTGATGGAGCTTTAAAGAAATGACCATTTATGTTAAATTGCTTGGACATGAATAATCAAATTAATCATTCTTTTCTCTCCACAAGAGGGCAACATTTCATAACATATGATCTGCTCCCTGAAAGCCCACACTGCTCATGTAAATCTGCTTAATTCTACTTCTTTAAAGTTGAGTCAACTTGACTCTTGCACCTTTACATGCTCTTTGTATGATCCCAGTTTGTCTTTGGCGACTTACCCTCTTGTCTCAAGTATGCATTAACAGTCTGAGGAAGCCCGATCCCATCCTTAAACCTGGGATATACAGAGATCCCATAGGGCTTGTAGGGCTCAAAGCTGCCTATAGATGAGAGCGTAGAGCACAGAGTGGATCAGTGGCCACAAGCTAATACAGTGTTAAGGCGGGTTGTGAAAAAGGAGAAAAAATGAATCTTGCCAATAAAAGATTATTTGAGTTCATGTAGTGAGAGATGATAGTGTGACCACAACAGAGCTCATTGATGCTGAAACATGTAAGCAAACTCTGGCGACTTACCAGTGATGATGAGACTGCATTGGCTTTTATTCACAATTTCAAAATTAATTTTGCAGAGGTCTGTATTTAGTAAAGGTTTCCATTCCACCACATAATCAATGAGATCTGAATTGCTATCAGCTGTCCACTGGACCAGAAATGATCTGTCAGCATGAGGAACAGCTGTGACATCCATAATTGCCATCTGAGCTGTTGACAGAAAAAAAAAGCAAACAAAAAAAAAACAATCCGCTCAGGTAAACAGAAAAAAACAGTAAACCAAAACACTTTTTACATTGCACCGTAAATGTATACATTTTTGACAATGTAACTGCAAATCGAATTGTATAAATTATGGGATTGTTAAAGAGAATGTGAATCATTTTGAGGTGGAAGAGGTAATTTTAAGGCTTTGCAACAGCTTTTCAATTGCATTTAGGCCTAGCCTTTAATTGGGATATTTTAAAACTTTAATATGCTATGATTTAAACCAAGTTTCATAGTCCAGTCTCCAAGAGCTACTCTCCTTCATCTTCTTCTCAAACACTCATAAATTAAATGTTAGACGAAGAAGAGCAGTAAGAGCATAAAAGCTTAAGTTGTTGTGGTTTTTCATAGCGTCTCCTGCTATTTCATTTGTTACCAATAGTGGCTAAAACAGATCTTTGGTTGGCATGCACATGGTGCCCCGTTTCCCAATCAGCTGAGAAGGTTCTGCTAAATTTCGCTCTTTTTACCTGAACTGATTTGAAGGGAGCGGTTCCATGCTGATAATGTGTAGAACTAAACTTACCAATATTATCAATTGCCAGAAGGAATGCTTGTAAAATCTGCAGGACAGCTCTTAAGGACTGGACTTCGGTGAACCGGAAACCATTTAAATGTTGCTCTGCTTTAGGCCAACAACATCCATTATTCTCAGGTCTTTTTTTCTTAACAAATTTCCCTTCAATATGGCTGTTTATTTCACTTCAAGCATTAAGATTGACTAGCTTCCATATCACTGCTGCCACCATCAAGTTTCATTATGGTTCTGTATCCTGAGTGCAGTATTATTTTTTTCATTACATAATTAAATTAGGTTAATTTACATGCATATCATGCTTTCTAGGCTTTCGCTTGTAAAAGAATAATAATAATAATAATAAAAAACAAAAAAACCGACACACACTGCTTTATGTTTATCCGTCAAAGGAAATGGCAATAAGACACAGAGAGGGTTGTGGTTATAACACATTAGGGCTATTGCACTTTTGCAAAACACTGTACATTTTCTTTTAAAGTAACATGACTTACCTTGAGGCTGGTAAATTCGGATTTCAGTGGGGTGAGATTTCCCCGCACTGTTCACAGCGCTCAGAAAAAATTTCCTTGCACCCTTAGAAGGTTGGAAAGCACAGCATTTCTCACTTGTAGAGCACATTATCTTCCTTTTACTGCGCAGTTTTGGTTGTGAGACAACATAGGACAGATTTCGCCCATTTGCACTGAATAGTTTTGATGGCTGAAACAGTAAAAAAAGGAATACTTCATACAATCCTGTAGAAACTTTGGTGACAAATACTTTTTCTGCAGGCTTGAAGTAATTATTTAGGTACCTTCCAGAACAGTTGTATGTTGAGGTTTTTGTTTTCTTTATTCTTTGATACCTTCATCCATGAGTCTAAGGGTCCAGTTGGAGCTGAAAAGAAAGAAAAAGCTGTCAGTCTTGAAACTTGTCTCTCTACAAGACAAGTCTATAGATTCACCGTCTGCATAGGCAACAAAACTCAATAGTTCAATTAAGCCTGTGCTGCAGAGCAAAACAGTGAGAGATGCACGACTTGACATTTGCATATACTGAAAAGATGACAAAAAATGTAGAGAAAAGGAAACAGATAGTTGCTAATTGATCCGAACCCTACCGGTCTCCAAGGTGACTCCGGACTTGCTGCTGCTCCACTCACTCCAGGGGCTCTGCTCGCATTGCACTCTAATTTGGGCCAAGTATTGAGTCCCATCAAGGAGAGAGCAGCATTCCACCTTTTTGGGTGATTTAACATAGCTCACAAGGATCTAAGAGAAATAAATAAGTAAATAAATCATGCAAGCACCTCAGCACAGCTAGATAAGCTCTAATTTTCAGGTAGGCTCTAATCTCAAAAGATGCATCCAGGAATGCGATCAGTTCTGAGGTGATATAAACTCATGATGTGTTTACAGTTTGAGCTGAACTCACCGGTTGGCTGCTGTCAGCAGTTTTCAGTCGGATATCCAAGTTGAAAGGGTTGTGATGCAACCAAGCCTGTTGCTTGGATAATTTCCATGTCAGTTGTAGGCAACCAAACCTTTTAGGCACCACTCCAATTTTTACAATACTGGGCTGGTCAAGTTTAACTGGCAGAAAAACAAACATATTAGATTTTTCTAAAAGTGCATTTTGTATTTCAAGAAGCATAATTTTAAAGAAGGACTCAGAGTTTGACACCATCTGGACTGATGTATTTTGATTGCACACAAAAATACCAGTTGACCTTTAAAAACAACATTACTGCTAAAGATATTTCTGCGTTCCCCACAGAATTGGCCAACCATCTGGATGAGCTTATCTGCTTTGGTTGAAAGCAAGAATTCTATTTTTATTTTCTGAAGTACAATCATTTGCTTTTAACCCACAGAAACTGCAAATGTTAAAACTTCCTTAGATTTTATTTATTTGAAACAAACATGAATTTGATATCTTTGTATGGTTATTTCATTTTCTACATTTTGTATGGTAAAAGAAACATTTTTAAAATTAAAGTAATTTTGTCTTGAATTCAAGACATATTGATCCATAATAGAGCCATTAGCACTTATATTTAATTAATGTAAAAAGGCTTGAAAAGTAAGCAATCATTTCTTGCTTTGGCTTTTTTATAAATAAAAATTGCAGAAATAAAATTCAAACATTTATTTGTTTACTTTTTTTATTCAGCAAAATAATGATGTTATGAAAATAATTTCCATTAACCTAACTCACTGTTGGTAACAAAATTATTGGCAATTACAATATTGTATCATTGGCACCCATAAAATCAACAGTAATTGATAGCTAGCCTTGCACTTGTAGCTCTGTAGTTATAGAAAAAGGTCCTTAAAACCTATTAACACAGATTGGTGCAGAACAAATGATGCCCATCAGGTGACTCTTTCAGCATACAGACAGTAAGGGGCTGATCTTCAGAAAGTTTGTAGGTCCTATCATTTGTGGCTAACACTTTACTATAGGGTACACAAAATTGGATTAACTACAAGACAATGCCAATAGAACTAATAAGGAACTAATGGGTAGTTAACTGGTACTTACTAAGGCCCACCCAGCCCAGCCTTATTATGGGACTACTGCTTAAATACCTGGGAAATACAGAGTAACTTATCAGAAACTAATGTGTCGTAATCAAAAAAAAAAAAAAGTAACCAATCAGTAACAAATGGGCGGTTACGAAAAAAACCCAAAGAGGAACTACTAAAGAACTAATATAATGGTTCTTTGCAGACAAATAGTGCAGACAAAAACAGAGACACTAGAGCAACAACACTTAGACACTCTCCAGCAAATGTCCGCAGAGCTACAGTTTTCCGTTGGCGAAGTTAACCAGTACATATTAAAGGACTGCTTGTCCGTTACCACAAAATTAGAGACATTATTTGTGCTGGTTCTAAATAAACCCTATACCTGTGAAGTCACAGCTTGCAAAAAACAAATTTACTATGCACCAAATTATTGCCTTACTATTACTTTATGGACACTGTGAGTCAACTCAGTAACTAATGTTTTTGTGTACCTTCAAGTAAAGTAAAAATACTCTTTAGTTCCTGCTTAGTTACTCTGTGTTCCCCAGGTAACTAAGTCATAGTCCCATAATAAGGCTTGGCTGGTAGTTGCCCTGTAAGTGCTGATTAAATGCTGGTAAGTTCCCCGGGTGCTCTGTAGTAGTAAATCAATTTATTTGTACTTTATCGTAAAGTGTTACCAATTTGTGCAGGATGGCCACTAATGGCAAATGCAAAAAGGAATTGAAAAAGAATAACATTATTTGGAATCTTTTAAGATTTACCTCAAATACGTCATAGACAGCGTAAACAAGAAATGGGGATGTTTCAAAATAGTTCAGTGACAAAAAACATCACTGGATGACACCCCAGGTACTCTTCATATTAGTAGAGGAGGGGCATTAATGGATGGAATTCTATTAGTGATGATTAGAAGGCTGCTGTAAACAACTTTGGCAAGCCCAACAGCTTTACTGAGCCCCTAAAAGCAGCTGATTATGCCTTTAATCTATCGCTAAATAAGAATCTTGATTCACATTTCAACTACAGCTATATTTTCTCATAGCGCTCAAAGTATGCTTAATTCTGATTGACAGCATGAACAAATATGTTCTGTTTTTTTTTCTAGCATTATCAGGAAAGCTATTATATAGTGGTGTCAAGGGAAATTATCCTTATTTCCATATTTAAAAAAATGTCACATATCAATCATTAGCGGCAAAAAATCGACCAACTTCACTGCAATATGAGGTCATTTGCGTAGATAACAGATCTAGCCCACCTCCATCATTTGGGCAACACAACAGTAAATAAAAAGACAGAGCGGCTAACCTTTGGGAAGGAGACATTTTGTCAACACAAAAACTGACACTGTTGCTTAAAAGAGTGGTGGGTGTTGTATTTATTTTTTTCAATGTGATTAAGAAAAAAATAAGAGAAAGATTTTTGGACAGTGAGGCAAAGTTAAAAAAACAAAGCCTTATCATCATTAAAGACAACAGATAGTTCATGTTTAAAAAAAAAAACAGTTAACGTTAAAAAATAAAACCTTGATTTAGATATATGCTGGTCAAACCCAGGTTGTTGCCAGAGTTTTTTATTTACATTTTCCCATTTGATGTTGATACTCACCTACACTTATCGGTTTGAAAACCATTTCTGCTGAAGTTGCCTCTCCGAGGTCATTCTCGGCCTTTACGTAGATTTTTATTGCCATGTAGATGCCAAAATCAGCACGAGAAATTACAACATGATGGATGTCTGGTGGCACTTCATAAGTATTGTTTGAATTTAAATCCCTGAAATGAAATATAAAATTAGAAAAAAACTATGCTATGTAGGTCTTTCAGTGTTTGCAACAAGATGTTGCATATGAGTCTGATGGGAGAGCGAGATCGCTGCTGCCATTAGCTGTTGAACTAGCAGTCAGAGCAATTGACGGTTCTGATCCTGAAACTGCTCCAGAACATTTGGAGACGACTTTACAGTACAAAGAAGAGTTTTCCCTAAGTATAAGAAAATAGTGAACAACTCTGGCATCACTGTAAGACAGACTACTACTGGAGATCCAGCCTATGCATGCAGTCACATGTATCATTAAAAACTTCAAAATTTGAAGAATGAAGAATAATATAAGACAACGATGTTTAATTTCCTTTCAGGAATAATTAAGCATGTTTGAAATGAACTGAATTGAATATGACTGTGACACCTCAATGATCCACATTAGATGC